AAGGAGTACCCATTCTCAGATTCTGAAATTTCTGGAATTCTGGATCAACTCCTCGAACAAAGGATAATCGAACTTCCAGCGCCAACGAGACCTGAAGAAGTTGGTAAGCTCGATCATCCTAAATATTGTAAATTTCATAGAATTATCAGTCACCCAGTGGAAAGATGTTTTGTATTGAAAGATCTTATTGTTCGTTTGGATAAAGAAAATAAGATCAAACTTGAAATCGAAGAAAACCCAACGGCCGCCTGCTCGATGGTTTCGTTTGGATCATTTGATCTAATCCCTGTTGCAAAGAATCATACATACACTGCCAGTAAATCTTCGGTTAAAGAGTTCGGACCGCAACTTCCAGAAGGAGCCATCCCGATGAAGTTTGAAGTAGATGGAGAAATTACCATCAATTACGTCAATCCAGGGATGGATGGACCACATGCACCTAATCGTCCAACCTTTTACGAAATTATGATAGATGACTTGGATATTTAGAATTCTGATTCAGAGTCCGAAGATGANGGGATTCTGATTCAGAGTCCGAAGATGAGATCGGTGATGGTTGGTCTACCTTCATAAGCAAGAAGGAGAAATATCGAGTGTCAAACAAAACAGGTAAAATATCACCATCTACATCTCTTGTAGGACCGAAATTGGGGGCAGTGGGTATGAAAGTTCAACCCAATGAAAAAGTATCACTAGAAGAAAATCAGGAATGATGAGCGATTCCACAACTTCCAAGTCCTAGTAACGGGAAACAAAAACCAAGAAACAACCAAAGAAGAAGGTCTAAAGCCAAGCCAAAAATGTCTGCTAAATCAACAGGAGTAGAAGTCGCTTCACTCGTTCCTTCTAGATTGCCGACCCTAGGTGATTATTTTCCCAAGAGTTTCTTCAACAATGAATGTTTTACCTCCCATGTTATCAATGTGGCTGAGAAAGACAAAGTAAGGAACGTATCGAGAGAGAGTTCAAAACAGAAGAAAACTATCTCGAGACTCAATAATATTCCTTCCAAAAAAAGTTTGGCAGAGTCTCTTACGCTTCCTTTCGATGATTGAATGGCTCTAATCGCCGCGTTGATAGATCCGAAAGAATACGAAGGTAAAGTCCTAGAACATATCGGATCTGCAACCCGACAAGACTGTATGGCTACCATCATATTTG